GTTCCTACCATCAGACCAGCTATCACATAAGATAGTGCAACCTGTTTCTTTCCATTCATCTCTGCATTTCTTGTAGCAATCATGTATATCACCTTTGACTTTTTCCAGAAGAGAAGATCGTAGGCTTTCGTAGCTTGGGGCTTTGTAGTCAACCCCACAATCTGCTATAGCATCCACCATTTCCTGATAATATATGGATTTAGCAGCACTAAAAGGGACAGAATTGTGGATGAAAAACACAGCAATTTTTTTATCAGCAACATCCTGCTTTTGCTTTTGAGCATCACCCACTTCTAGGTGTGCCACCGGTGAAGGGCACGGAAACAACAAAGACGGGGATGTGCTTCCATTCTGTCCGCTAGTCCCATGGTTAGGATGGAAGCCACCACTAGCAGAGGAGCTATTCTGTTGACCATTGGCTGCAAGTGCCTTATCAACCTTTGGTTTCTTGGGAGTTTTCTGTTTCTTTGGAGTGCTTATTATGCTTAAAATGTTATCCCGCACATCAGTCGGAACTTCTGTGCAGGGGACTATATCTTTGTTTTTAATTTGAGCTAAGTGAAACTTCATTCTGTATACGCCTCCACTGAACTCCCGTTGACAATAATTACACCTAACCTTCTGCTTTGTTGCATCAACCAGGACACAGTGTTCCCAACATGCATCTCTTCCACGAACCATTATCTTTGACAACAAAAATGCAATAACTATTATTTCCATTCAAATGAATATAAATGTTACAATACATTGCAGTAATTGTCCTATAAAGGCATTATTTGATGCAAGAGAAGAAGAAAACAAATAGTTTGAAATGCCTTCCAGAATGACATTCTATATTCAAACACCTACTTGCCATTACCTGGATCTCCCGACAATTGTTTATCATTCATTGTTACATGGTAAAAGGAAAGCACCTAAGCATGCTAAATTGCTAATTCAATCCAAGTATCCATTTCTACCTAAGGTTTCACTAACTTTACAACCCCATTCCTCGTTTCCATTATCTAAGTTTGAACTGAAACACCATTAATAGCAAATGCATCTTCGCAACTTTTTGTTTGTTTGTTCATTTATTTTCTGTATAAGCAACTAAAACAAGAAATTCACACGGAAGATGTCCCACCTCTGTACCGGATCCATACAAACGAAGTAATAGAGTACAATGCCAGTTAAATATGCACAATTTGTTACACATTCTTTTGTCACAGTGATTAACTTGGGAACTCTAATATCTCACTCAGTTACAATCCATCCCAATAAAACAAACTCTGCATTTCAACGAAGCACTTACCATGAATCTTTAGGCATCAAATTCTTCATTTTTATGCTGCAGAATTCTACACATTAAAGACAACACATATCCTCTCTTCTTTTTTTTTTTTTTTCAGTACAAAGATAAATTTTACACTAAGGGGAGGGAGAGTTCGGCTAAGCCACACAATGAGCAACCTAATTTGATATCAAATTCGTTATCCACGAGATTCGATTCTAAAACCTCTCACTTAAAGAGGAATACCACTAGACCGTAGTGCTAAGTGGCAACATATATCCTCTTTTAGTTTTTCTAACTTATTCAAATTCTATAGCACAAGCTTACATTCAAATATTAAGGGTACAAGTAAGCAATACAGTTAGAAATATAGTTAGCAAGTTTGTTAGTATTTGGTTAGAGTTGTTAGGCTTACTAGTATAACAACAAAGTGTGTAAAACCCTAATCTTCATTCTCTCAGTTAATACAAATCATATTTCTCTCTCTAAACTCTCTCTCCCTAAGATCTCTGTGTTCATCCTTCTGTTCATCATTTCTTCTTGATTTTCTCCTCAATTCCCAAACATTTCAATGTAGTTAACATCAAACTGGGTTCATGTCTTTTGTTCATCACAAGCGATATTCTACACTAATGTATATTAGGGACGTTTTGAACGAGAGACGCGGTACATTGAACAGAAGACCCTAACCACCAGTGGTCCGGGCCGCAGTGGATTCATGTCTTCTTCTTTCAGACATATCTTCCTCTATACGTTAATTTTCCCAGTAACCCACAAAATCATTCGTTCCAACCGACAAATATGTTAATCCAAACCTAACTTGTAAATAAGTATTCAAAAGTTCAGTAAGTAAATAAACATTTATTTATTTTTATTGAGCTTAAGCAACTCAGTTATATTAGTTCATGTTGTTAATCGGAATTTAGACTTACAGAGAGAGAGAGAGAGAGAGAGAGAGAGAGAGAGGGCACCTGCTTGTAAAATATGGTCTGAAAGCGTAAAGACCGGAGCGGTCGGTACCCGCAAACTGGGATCGGCGATTTTGGAGGGAAGGATGCAGGAAGAGTGCCGAGGAAATGAAAAACCACGGCGATAAATCAGTGGTCTTCGCTTGGCCCTTGACCGAGGAAAAGGCATAGAACTCTGAACTCTCCTAAAACCGTTGCACATGACTTGCTCGTGTCCTTCATTTTCTCACAGTTGTCCTTTGAAGTTTGAACTGCGAAAACATTTCTACCTTTCCATTTCTTTGCTATTTTTTTCTTGCTTTTTTTTTTTTTTTTTTTGGTAAATTACAAAAAATACCTCAATTATTGATGTCACGATACTTTCATACCTCATCTTTTAAAATTGACAATGTCATACCTCATCTTACAAATTTGTGCCAATGTCAAACCTCCGTTAGTTTTTATATTAATTTCTCTGTTAAGTGCTGACGTGGCTAGAGACGGGACCTATTTTTTATTAAAAAATTAATTAAATATTTTTAAAAAATTAACTAAACATTAAAAAATTAAAAACAAAAAAAACCAATCAACCCGTGTCCCCCCACCCCAGATCCCCTTCTCTACCACCCAACCCTCTCTTTCTCCTCTCTCTCTCTCTCTCGCCTTTCTCTCTTCTCGCTCCCCACAACTTGCATCCCTAAAATTCCAAAACCGAGAAACCCTTCCCACCCGTCCCTCCCCCAACCTTCCTTTCCAATCCCACCGACGACAACCCTACATCTGTCATTAACTCCAGCGATGACAACCACGACCCCCAATCGCCCCCAAACCCTAACTCTAGCCACAACCTCCACAACAACATTCCCTTCTCCTCCTTGCCCCTGGAGTCTGCCCCTGGCGCCCCACTCGCCTCCATCACTCTTCCACGTATGCTTTAACCAAGACTAGGCCTGATTTGCCATGGGGACGGGCCACGGGTTCCAGATCTAAAACTGCTACCCATTCTGCGAGCTCTTTCTCCGCGACTTTGACAACGGGGGCGAAATCGGTGTCGTCGAGATGCTATTTCGTTGAGACGATCGCGAACCTCAAGGGGTTGTGCGCGATGTTGCAGGTGGCGGGGTCGCTAGTGCTGGTGTGCCCTGGCCTGTAGAAGGGGCAAGTTAGGGTGGAGCATTACAGGTCGGGTGGGAAAGGTTTCTGGGTTTTGGGATTTTAGGGATGCAGGTTGCAGGGAGAGAGAAGAGAGATAGGCGAGAGAGAGAAAAAGAGAGAGAGAGAGAGAGGAGAGAGAGGGTTGGGTCGGAAAGAAGGGGATCTAGGGACGAGGACATGGGTTGATGGGTTTTTTTTTTTTGTTTTTTGTTTTTTTTTTTTTAATATTTAATTAATTTTTTAAAATATTTAATTAATTTTTTAATAAAAATGGGTCTCGTCTCTAGCCACGTCAGCACTTAACAAAAAAATTAACAGAAAAACTGACGGAGGTCTGACATTGGCACAAATTCGTAAGATGAGGTATAACATTGTCAAATTTAAAAGATGAGGTATGAAAGTGTCGTGATACCAGTAGTTGAGGTAGTTTTTTGTCATTTACCCTTTTTGTTTTCAATTCTTTAATTTTTTTTTTTTTTTGTTTCTTTATTTCTTATGTACTTTTTAATACTATGCTAGGATTTTTTGTTTGTTCCCATTATTTTAGACAAAAATGTATTCGAACACACATTATTTGATGAATAAATCAGATGGATAAATTTAGTGCAATTTAACTTTATTATATATATGTGAAGATGTATTTCTTGGTTTGCCCTCCGAACTTGTATAAAGCTGTCAATTTCTAGCATGAACTTTAATTTTAGTCAATCACCCTCCTGAACTTTTATAAGTAGCCAATTTTCCCTTTGAACTTTAACTTTAGCCGGTTAGCCCCCTTAAAAATTTATAAATAACAATTTCCCCCTAGCGTTAGATTTTAAAAAATTTCATCCAATTTTCATCAATCAATTTTTCCATTCTTTATGCCCCCATGTGGTTGTCATGTATTTTCTGTGTCATCAAAATGGATGAAAAATTAGATGAAAGTTTTTAAAATCTATTGTGAAGGGGGAAACTGGCTATTTATGAAAGTTCATGGGAGTAATCGGCTAATGTTAAAGTTCAATAGGGAAATTGGCTAATTATAAAAGTTTGGATAATCGACTAAAATTAAAGTTCAAGGGAAAAATTGGTAGCTCCATACAATTTTCATTTCCAAACCCATTCATCATCCATCTACTTGTATATTGTTACCTTTTGTAACCATGAAGAAAAGAGTGGAAGAAGGCACGATAGTGCACTAAGGTTGAGTAGGCAACCAACACCAAATGGGTTTTTAGAATAATGATTGAGTGGCTCTGAATAAGGAATAGTGAATTCCATCAATCGCTCACGCGCATGTAGGTTAATACGGCTGAATTAGTAGACATTACCATACACAATTGATGAGCAATCCATGTTCAGTATCAAGATCCAGTATACTTTTCACACGATCTTAACGCGAGGAAGAATGCTTGATTTGAATACAAAAACTTGTAAATTTGTGATTGACACGTCTAAAATAGTGAACATTTCACTTGTTCTCGTGAATTAGCAGTAATTTCGGCATGTAAAGTTGAAGAATCAACATAAATGTGATGACAGTATAAGAATATGGCACTAATTAGTGTTTGGTTTATTTTGGTACTACCAAAATCTTGGAAATCGGCTTGCAATTGAGTATATGACCTGAAAATCCCCATACTTCATTACTTTTCTGCTGAACCCACTTGCTGCCTAATTCTGCGAGTGCAATTTTCAAAACTTTTAACAACACCAGCACATTTCAGAGGGTTGTCGGCATGCTCTTTGTAGTAAGACAAGCAAGCATCTTTTTCATTTGAGCAGGGCATAGGCTTCTGAAATGGAAGCTTGAACTCCTTATCATGAAGTTCCTTGGCTTTTTGTGTCACTTCCTGCAGCATGTTCTCCTCTTGTTTCTGCAACCGCTCCATATCCCTCTCGCTCTCTAGCAGAATAGATATGATGGCATCAAGCTCCTTATAGGGTGACTGTGAATGAGGCGTTACAGGCAACAAATAGAGGAGACTGAAAAGGCCATCCTTTAGCACTTGGCCTTTTAAGTGTTTCAAAGTCATCAGAACCCTGCTTCTGAGTTATCTTCGCTTGGGGCTATGGAGGCTTTCGTGGTAGCTTTTTAGTTCTTCTAGGTTTCCTCTTTGACTTCTCACCATCCTCAACAAGTTTATTAACCAGATTGGAGCTAATCTGAATGCTAAAATTATCCATGGTGGGATAGTTCCTTGATAAGATACCTAGAAGGCTGGAAATATTTATGCAATTGTGCCCAATTAGAACCTAAATAAAATGACTATCGAAAGAGAGCCAATAACTGTGAAACATTGTTGCAACAAACTCTAAAATTTAAGAGATGAAGATGAGTTCTGTTAGAAATTGAAAAGGAAAACTACAATTTAAATTAAGAACTAACAGAAATGTACATATTCTAGCCTTGGGCCCACATTCATGTGTGAAGATAGCAAGAGATTTTGACCAATAGGGTCGAATAAGGATATTAGAATCCAACACAACTCCCGCATACTTGAAATTTCAAATGTGAAACACTAACCCTATATTTTTTTTCAAATCTTATAAATATCTGGGTTGGTCAGCCAGCTGAGTGATTTCATCAGTCAAAAACTTTAAATTGTTTGAAAGATACACAAATCGTACATTGTATAGCTATGTAATTCCCTTCACCTCATGCACACTAAGGACAATGTCAGTAGGATACTAGTAAATGAGGACCCTCAGCCTTATTCTTGGATGAAATTCAACAGCTAGTTGTGAACACACATTATTATCAAACACCAAAGAAAAAAATGACAAACTTAATAAAGTTCAAATGTAACTATACCATTGTGATTCAAGGTATCTCTAAACCTTCACAAATTATGTTGCATGCATAACAAATATTGAAATTTAAAATCCAAGATCAAGTTCAAGAGAATAAAGCCTATTCAACAAAGTAAAACAAGGATTCAGTTGCTGAATGTTAATGGTTATAGCTTCATTGGCTAGACAGATGTATTATGATACATGATACACACAACGGATTTCCGTGGATTTTGAAGAAATCCCATCTCCCAAATCTCTAAGGAATCCTAAGTTGTGGCATCTTAGTTCATACACCTTCCAGCAGACAAGGTTTACTTCAACTGTTTATTGTCGATATAGAGATTACGTACTCCAATGTCCTCCTAAAGTTTGAAAAGACTCTTTTATAAAGATATCTTATTTACATATAAAAGATATTCAACCTCAAGTTTTGATAACATTAGACTCATTTGGGGGGTTTAATCAACACAAAGTTACGAATGGAAAAGAAACCTATCACCACAATAACATATCTTATCCACGGCATGTAATGACATCAACTTAAGTTAATCTATAAGTGGAAGTGAGACAACAAAAGACAAAATACACACAACTCAAACAGAACAAACTATTTGACATCTTGTTAACTTTTTTCCTCCTTTTCACATTTCCAAGCCTAATATTACAAACAAAAACAGTATAGCTTGTGCAAATATATCTATGACAAACGGAATAATTATACTTGAAGAGTACTAACATGCAAGTATGGAAGACTAAAATACAATAGAGAATAAATTTTGATAGTTAAACTTTCTATCCCAATCTTTTTGGGAGCACTTATTATTCCATAATGTGTAACCAATAGGTTTCAAACTCCCTAATCTGTAACTGGTTTCAAACTCAGGAAGTAAAACACGGGAAAAGATAAGGCGGACCATATCACTTTTGTTCAACTGAATTCAAGTTGCATTAATATGCCTAAGCCAGTCCCTGCATTTCCCGAATAAGAAAAATAGTGGTCTACATTCATCTGTTTCCTATGAGAATTATGATTTGTATAACCACAAACATCAATATGGCCGCTCAGTAATGCTTAATACTAGTCGAGAAGTGAAATCAAAGACCACAATTTTCAACCTCGAAAATTTTACAAACAATTGCAGCATAAACAGCAACCCTAGTATATAAGTATCGACCCAAAATCTCCACAGCATCAAATTCATGTCAAAAATTACCACAACATTACACACCTTATACGAAAAGCAATTAAAAACTAAACCAATAGAAGTTTCAACAGACCAAAAAGGAGCAAAAAAACCTAACTGATTCGTCAGATACTTCTTTGAGGCATTTAATCAAACAGCTTGCAGGCCAAATATGCAAAACCCTAAACGAACGATCCCAGAACAAACTATGAAGTGACAAAAAACCCTAATTCAACGAAAGATTGATCCACGAAAAGAAGAAAGAAGAAGAAGGCAAACCTGGCTGTGCTTCTGGAGGAAGACAATACGACGAAGGGCACTCTATAGCCGCTTTGGGCCGCACTTTCTTCTGCTCGATATGGGCATCGGTGAAACAACAGACCTCGTGGAAAGTAAGAGAGTGGGTGAAATTGTAACTACGCGTCAAGTTTTGGGGAGGAGCTGTAAATTCCTGTAAATTTTGAGCAAGCAGAATAGAGTACAGGGCCTGGATTTGGAGGCCTGCCTAATTTAGCTGAAGTAATTTTGGGTTAGGCTGGATCAAATAACAAGCCCGGATAAATTCATAGGTACGCCTATTTACTTCAATTTTTAGTTTCAGAATTGTTATTGGCAATCCAAAAACATTAGTATTTACTTCAAATTAATGAAATTGCAAGTGAACATTTGTATACAAGGAATGCTGATGAAAGTTTTTTTATTTATATTTTTTGTGATTTAGATATGAAGAATGTATATTAGAGAAATGAGGGATGAAGAAGGATGATGGGATACAAGGCAAGAATAAGGAGGAATCAATCAAAACAAAATCTTGAAAGTGAAAACATCTTAAAATAAATTTTGGTTTTTAGTTTTCATGTGTGTATATACTTGTACATATTTTCAGCAACTTTCCTATTATCCATCATCCACTCTTCTTCATCACTAACACAAAAGTGAAAAAATAAAAAAATAAAACAAAAAACAAAATGGCATCATACGTGTCGAATATGTGTAGAAACCAAGCTCCTTATAAGCACATATAAGATTCCTTGATTCCTCGATGTGAGATTCACCACTCTCAATGTGCCTCCTCACGCTTGAGGTCATTTAAGCATAACACATACTTGATGATGTGGTAGCACATCGGTTGTTGGGCTTAACGCGTTAGTTAACCTACTTTGATATTGTATAGGAAGTTGAGGTTCCACCACAGCATGAGTAGTATCCTAACTCATTATAAGTACGTGTAACGTCCCATAATGTTGGATTTACACTACTTACAATCAAATAGGTAAACTGAAACAATACATGTACCCGTCTACTTATATTGATTTAGGCCTAGGTTGAGCTACCTAGATAGAGAGATTTGGTGATATGGATTTTCTATGGTTCCCTGAAGTATGCCATATTCTAGGAATTTTAACAGCTAGATCTTTATTTAAAAATAAATAATAAATTAAGAATCAACAGTTAAAAAGTTTGCAGTATCTATACTCCCTAGCATCATAGATTTACTATTTTTCTTACTTGAAATAATTTAGATTGAATCACTAATTAAAATCTTATAGATAATGAGTAAGGTTATGTAGTCAAAGGTCAATATAATCTTTAATAATTAGCCATGTATCATTGCCAATTTTTATCTTTTTTTTTTTTTTTTTTTTTTTTACATAATCAATGAAATATGGGGGACCATGATATTCCAGGCTGGAGTAAGAGGGATCAGAATACAATACCTCAGAAGTCTAGTCATGGACTCAACAACTCGAATTAGATTGAGTTGATCAAACAAGCCAGTGATGCCACCACATCCAGCTGAGCTCCAAAAAAGTAGGCGACCTGATTCGATTGGGGATCATACTAATTTCCAATATTCTTGGAGATTCTTATAATTTAGGGCTTGGTATGTGCTGCAGTAACCATACTCTAAAGAGAACACAATATCTAATCTTAAATATCCTCTTGGATTCTCCTAGTTTAATACGGATTCCATATCCTAAAAGGCCTCTCTCTTGACTAGTATAAATACACTCATCCAAGGTTCATCTATGGTAATGCAATTATCGTATACTCTATTCTCTTGCCCACTGTTTGAGTCTTATATTGCTTACTAACTTGACTGTCGGAGATCCTTTGGCCGGTACCTCATATATACCCAACTTTTATCTTTGTTGTTTATTCTTTTACAGGTTGTCGGATTTGTGTAACTCCTCTGTCTGCGATGGTGTGTGAATTTGATTCCAAGAATTGGTACATCAGATAGTTCAGTGAATGCTAGTACTTCATATTCCCACATCCTAATCACTCTACCACATCATGTCTAGTTCAGATAGTTTATATAGTTTAGTGAAGGGATGTACCAATTCCTATTGAGGAAGCAATCAAGATTTGTACACTTTTGTCGCACTAGGAAACAACGGGGCCCTGACGATGAAGTTACCCCTATCATACACTAGATTTGGGAAGTCTTGATGAGGATCAATACCTTTGTGAACAAACTTCGCGAGATCTTAATGACTTTTCAGGTGGAGAATTGATCAAAACTTGTTAACAAACTTTGCGTGGAAGCTCTAGAAGATGCTGTTTTCAGATTTAAGGACCTGAATACCATAATTCCAGAAGAACAACTAGCCATGACAACACTCATTTGGACCCCAAACCTATGCGAAATGACATGGCCGAACTTCCAAAACCTCTCATAAAAAGCCTAAGCATGATCTAGAATAGTATGATAACCAAGGGTTGGTGAATAAACGAACACTAAACGTCAACTGCATCTACGAGGAGCAAAAACATATGACAATACCAGAAATGAGAGAAAGACCGCTGCAAAAAATCGAGAATGCTAGCTTCCATCAACAAACTTTTTCCGATCGAGTCCAACATCTTGATGTTCTTTGATCAAGATTTGGAAGATGTGCGCTCTCACATAATGACACTCTCAGATCTCAAATGCAATGGTTCACCAAGTGCTGATAGATAACAGATCCAAAGTTAACTTCTTCATTAAAGAAACAACGAGGAGGATGAGAAGAGTAAGATTACTCTACATACCTTTAATGGCGCTTCAACTC